GACAGTCCAATGTTGACCAGCCTATGCCGACGCATCACCGATATTGGAAAACCATTGGCTTTGATAGTCCGTTATTGTCCAATGTGTTTCCAATATTGGGAAATATATGGCTCAGTTGGGCCATTGTTGGGCCATTCTTTGCCACCTCAAATCCAATGTTGGCCCAATGCTGTGTGCTGCCTGGGCCCGGTATATAACTTTGTGCATAATATAACTCCGAGCGTGTAAACACATTATATGTGAAAAGAGTGGGGTTCTTATTTTTTTCGTTTATCTGAGTTTTACCGTATAACCGAGATTTCGGTTGCCGGTAAAAGAAAAAAGTTATGTGCGTCTACTTTCCCGCACAACACTCGGAGAGCCAAGAACCGCAACTTACGGAGGCTGCTCAGCGAATGACGGTGCTGAAACATATGTTTAGACACTAATGAACGCAGTCTGAGTTGTGACATTAAGCAACGCAAAACGTCACGCTTGCATTGCTTAATGTCACAACTCAGACTGCGTTCATTAGTGTCTAAACATATATTTCGGCATCGCCATCCGCTGAGCTGTCTCCGTAAGTTGCGGTGCTTGGCTCTCCGAGTGTTTTGCGGGAAAGTAGACGCACAGTATTTTTTTAGAGTGAGGTGGGGGGGGGGGGGGGAGGGGGGGAAGGGGTCAATATTTATTTCAGTCTTCCGCCCGGCGCCGGGGCGTGCCAGTTGCCCTTCGTTGGTTTGGCACGTAAGCCCCCCCCCCCCCCCCTCCCCCCCCCCCCCCCCCCCCCCCAATTCGATTTCTATTTCGGTTTTAATAACGAATAGATTATTCTTCCAAGTGAGATGTGGTGCGCAACTTGCGCCCTCCGGGCGACTGGTGCCTTGCTGAAATGGCAAATCTGCTTGTACCAAGGAGTGGATTTAAGGCTCCTGCTTCGGGGAAGGAGGCCTGCAAACAGATGTAACGTCACTGGCAAATTTAAATGTCAGACGGACGTCACGTTATGGACGAAGGAAATTACCATCTTACGAAAAACGAGGCGCGTCAGAACAATAGACCGCCAGGTGGCGGGAAAAGTGGGAGGGCTGTTTTGAACGCGCCGCCAATCAGATATCCTATATCAGCCATAAAATATATATATATGTGCGGGTGAAGGGGGAGGAAAAAAAAAAAACCGCCTTCTTCCATAGTCTTTTTTCCAACGATTTACCCTCCTTTCTTAGTGGAAGTAAAAGCAAGCAGGATGACGCGCCGGACTAGAAAAGGCACGTAAGTCCTAGGTGAGGCGAGATATTAAACTAACGTTAAGAAAAGAGAGTAAAGTTTCGGAAAGTGGCCGCGGATTTATGTGGGTGCCGCTGATCTCATACTTCTCTTTTCTGTCATGTGCTGACGTTCTCAAACCTCTAGTTTTGCGACCATGTTTGGCGCAGAAGGCGCGAGCTTCCTCAACATATAGAAGGCCGTGAATAGGCATTTCTTCCCACGAGAAAAAACAAGCAAACTGGCATATGTTTTTTTTTTTTTTTTAAAGTCGCTCTGGAGTGTTTGGGGGTTCCGTCCGCCCTTGCGGACAACTTTACCCCCTCTGCAGACAAGTGAGCGACTCCGCCCACCAACGTGTCATCTCCAGTCTGCAGTAATCGAGGCACAAAGACGGTGAGCGTAAGTTGTTCGCAGCTAGGTTACCTCCGATTAGAACATCAAGGGCAGCGCTAACAACCGTCAATTGAAGAAACACAGGGCGTGGTCAATCACAGGCATCTTGTTATCTTTCCGCCGCCAACGAGATTACCGCGAAAGACGATGACATCGCCGGAGAACAAACCACGAAGCAAGAGATGCACGGACTAGACGCTAGAAGGCAATTTAGGTTCAGAATGTGGAGGTCGCAGCCCGCTAAGCCCGGCCCCGTGCTGACAAGGTGCTTACATCTCTAATTTCCTGGAGAGATGATTGACGTGTGAAAGGTTGGTTGTTCATTTTGCACCTTCGTGCCATAATGGTATTTTAACCGACTATGTTTGAGAAGCAACTAATCAAGATTGAGTCATTATTGTTTTCAAATGTATTCAGTGAGACTGCTTCTCCCGCTTTCGTTTGAAACATTAAGAAACATAGCTGCCGGCGTTTGCCGAGTGCTGAACAAGCGTAGCTAGTTGAGATCGTCAATTTTTATGACTGCGGGTCGTTTTACGTTTACAGAGGTGTTTAGAGAAAGATCTCGTCAACCGACATAGTTTGCAGCAGACAACTGTCTCAAGTACACGCGCCTTAGGGAACGCTGTGCGGATGCTTGTTTTCGTAGCGGGACTGGGCTATGCCTCGGGTCCCTATTTTGATCGATCTTGCTTGGTTTATTTCTTTGCACGTGTTGATGCTGCTGAATAAAGACGTTGGTTTCCGTAAAAGCGGCCCTACTGCTCTGTAAATTGTGCAACCGTCATGATTGCAACCATGATTTCGATACCGAAAAGACACCTACGCAGGTAAGAATTTGCGAGTCATTTGACTGGAGCCAATCGGGCGTTCGGCTTGCATCAAGTAAGTCCATATATGTTCTTGTCGGTTCTCTTCCAAAGAGAAGTAACTCTCAAGTTTTGCAGTTCCCCTGGCCTTCCAAAGCGAATAAATTTACGTCAAGTTTTGATTGCACGTCATGACGATCCTCACCTTGCTCGCGAATGCCATGCTAAAAAACAAACAAAAAGAACATGAACGTTCAATTACTGCATATTTATTTTGTTGCTTTCTTTAGTCGTTTCGGTCACTTTTTACCGCACATCGACAGACGCTGACGGATGCTTTTATTGGACCGTTGCCCGCACATGGTGGCACGTTAGAACGCCGCGCCGCTTTCATGGTCGAGTCTTGCGAGCGTTGTAAACGTTTTTAAACAAGGGTGGAACAGCAGACGGATGATGGGGAAAACGAACGCCGACGGGCAACGTTCATGTCCGCGTCCTTCGGGCATGGCAGACGACGATAGACAATGGTGAAATAGCAGACGATGCCGAAGGCCGTCGCGCATCTGCTCACGCAACTAGCAGGCGTTGTGAGACGCCAGACTAGACGTGCTGGATGTCGGGGAAGGGAGACACCTGGATTGTTAGTGTGTTCGGCCGAGCAGCCGAGCCAATCCAGTGGTAATGGGCGGAGCAACTGATTTGGGTTTGGGTCTTAGAGCGGGCCGTAACCTCCACCTAATTTGCGCCTAACAGCGTAAATATTGCGCGCACATTTTTTTCTTCTCGTGGAAAAATTACGAAACAAGAAAACGGGTCCCATCTATACTGTTTAAAAATAACTTTTTTTTTTCATTGTAGTGTTTCGTTAAGGCCCTAAAGTGAACTTTTTTAATTAAACATTTATATACATCAATTAAATGTTTAGTTTTTGGTGATAGCACATATTAGGTCCCTAAAATAGAGCTGGCTAACTTTTCGGCCGTGACGTCGTTTCTCTGCAGACGTTCAAAGGAACGGCGTTCCAAGGAGCGACGTTTCTGGAAAGCGTTCAATTTAGGCAGAACGGAAGAACGCCGCCGTCCCACCTTGTTGAGGTGGAACTGGAACGGACGGTCGTTACGTTTTTGAGGGAACGGCAGGAGGAACGGCGGTACCTTTTTTATATACCGTATGTCTTTAATTTACCCCAATTTAGTAGGCATTGGTTTTTTTTTATTATCGACTATTTCTATCTCCGACTACTTAGAAAGATAGGGACGTGCCCGGAAGATAGTCGAAAACGAAGAACTGGAACAAACCTGATCGCGGCGACTCGACACTTAGTTCCACGTGGATACTTTAACTTTCCTAGTTTATTTCATTCGCGGATTATGCAGCACATTATGCTCTTAAATTACACATCGTTTATGCAATGACACGCCCCAATTTTAGAATCATAAAGGGAACGTATTTCTTTGAAACCACTGGAACTTGTAACGTGACCTCGTTCCAAGATTTTGAGAGGCAACGAGGAACGAACTTTCGTTCCTGTTTTGAAGGAATGCGGACAGCACTGCACATGACCCGTGTCACGCTGACGGCTCCTTGTTTATAGTCACGTAAACAAAATGGCTGCGATCTTTACCTTTGAAGTCCTCTAACGCATGAAATCCATTAGAGGAAAATTGGTGGTTCACGCGACGTATGTTTTCCCTCTAAGTTTAGTGGGGAAATTGAACGGTTGTATAGGTCAAAAGGCGTAAATTTTCCCCGCCAAATTTAGCGGGTAACTGCGTTGGTGTATAGGTCACGTGACGTCGCTTTCTCGCTAAATTTAACGGGGAAACTGAATTGAGGATTTTGGGCCACGGTGCGCAAAGTTTCTCGCTAAATTTAGCGGAGAAACGGAGTTCACGCAGTGGCCACGAGACGTCCATTCCCCCAATGTGTATAGGTCACGTCAAGTCACATGACGCCACTTTCCCCGCGAAATTTAGCAGAAAATGCACGGACGGAGACAACACGGAGTTTTTGTAGATCGTTTTTGCCGTCAGGCAACGCGCTCTCCGCAACCCGCTATTACGATACTTGAAACTCCACAGTCAAGGCCATGGGCCCGCAGGCGCAGTAGCTTCTTCGTTTCAGAGGGCTTAGGGGAGGGGGAGACGCGGTCTACTCCTGGCAGTGGTTCGTGTCCCCGGCTACACTACCACACCATGGTGCGCCGCACTGCGCCTGCGTACAAGACCAGATTCGTGTGAGATGATGTATGTGCGCATGCGCACTACCGACAGCAGCGCCGCCGCAGCGGTCTGACGTCAAAGAGTTTGGTGGGTGTATAGGAAACTATGCCTCAAACTGTTTCACCACACAACAAACAGATTTCACATCCGACGGCAAGGCGGCCGGTACTTTGGGAAATTCCGAAGCCTGTATGCGCGTTGCCACAATGAACATTTTTTGCTAAACACGTGGCGATAATAAGCGTCGGGCAAAGTTTATCCAATCGCGCCTGTAATCGCGCGCCGATAACGCTTGTGCGGCCCGGAACAATAGCGCAGACCTTAGTAGGCGGTTTTGGCCCGTCAACGTCCGACAAGTACGCCTATATTCTCCGCAGAATGGCGTCGTTGCATAGCCTATCACGGACAGATGAAAAGTGCACATGTTAACTCGAATTTGATTTCCGCCAACCACCTTCTCGCCAAAGGACACATCACTCTCGGAGGACATCTTCCGAAAACCGTACGTATATATATTATTATTTAAATTTTTACGACAGTTACGAAGATAAATCAGTGTTGTACACGTTGCTCAAAAGAAGAAGAAAAAAAAAGGACGAAAGTTTGTTTTTTGTTTCTTCTGATTTTTGTGACGCGTTCCCGTTTCAAGTTCCATCTGTGAAAAAGGAACTCGTTCTCGCTTTAGTTAAAAAAAATGGAACGCATCGTTTCATGTACGTTACATTTTCATTTCGTTGATTACCATATTTAGTTGGATCAAGCAAAGTGTTCTTCTTAAAAAAACATCTATCTCATCAAATGGGAACATACGAATTTGAATGCCGTGATGGAATTCAAGTCTCAAAATCTCGGCTTTTAACCATATTCACGTTTGTGGTGGACGATTCAGACGAGCCAAATGTACTGTTACCCCACCCCACATCGCACGAGCGTTTTCCAATAACCTCGCACGTTTCAATCTAACAAAGTCGCTTGTTCGAACTTAACAACAGTTGCTTCTCGATGATGATATCCGCAAGACGAGCAAGTGAAGGAGAGGGTGGGGCGTTTGGAATGTCAGTCTTAAAAACTACAGGTCTATCTTCGTGAAGGTTGGATTGGTTGTTCAATTTGAAGGGTGGGGGACAAGGGAAGGACTAATTGGTTAATTTTTTTGTATCTTTTAAAGGGGACGCTGAACCAAAAACTACAGTGCCCATAAAAAGTTGCGTACGACCTTTCCACGAACCAGCAGCCGCTGATGTGCGCGAGCACACAGAACGAAAGTGACGTCACAGTACCCCGTTCACGCTTATTATGACAGTGAAATGTGTGGGCTCCGGGGAAGAGGAGAATAAATGCTTGCTTTTCATCTCCACAGGGAGCTCTGGTGTAAAAGATAGGCGATTGATTGGTCTAACAAGCACGTAGCTTTCATTTGTGGGAATAAAAAGCCTGTCTTTATTCTCCTTTACCTCGGACACGGTACGCTTCACTGTCATATTATGCGTAAATGGGGCACCATGACGTCAATTTTGTTGCGTGTGCTCGCGCACACCGGCGGCTGGTGGCTCGTGGAAAGATCGTGCGCCACTTATTAGACAGTTTTAGTGAACCGTACGCAAGGAAATTGTGGGTCGTGAGTGCGCATGCGCAGAACGAAATAAAAGGGCTAGCGTATTGCGTACGCACGCAACGCTGGGGATTTTGCGTTGCTGGCTAGCGGGCCTTGCGGGACGGTCTCGAGAGATCTCGGACCCAACGAGAGCGCCAGTTTCAAGATGGCGGTTGCCTTGACTGGCGCAGCAAGGGCGAGGTGGTGTTTTCGAAGTTCTGTGTTACGTGAAAATGCGTGGTGTTCAGCTCGGCGATTCTTTCTGGGACCTACCGCGGTCGAATCAGATCGCCCTGCAGCTGAAGGAGTGCACAGTGGAAATGTTCGCCGCTCGCAGTGTGCGTCGACGCTGCAATCTGCTCAACGCAAAGCCTATTCCCACAATTCATCTCCAGGACAAACGACTCTAAAAGAAATTGCCAAAGTTCTCGCTATGCACTGGAGATCAGGGTCATGAATTTCATTCCGCGATAGCATTGTAAAAGGTGCCGTTTCCACGGGACGACTGACGGAGGCTCCGTGATCGAATTTGGCTACGCACTCGTACTCGTAGCCTCTGTACCCCGCAGAAAAGCGCGCTTGACGAAGCAGCTGTGGCTTGGTTTAACCTGAAATAAAATCATTGGACACTTTTTCTTTTTCAATATTTCTTTCCAGGAGCATGGTTGCGCTAGAAGCACGCGGAATTCTACGGCTCTAGCAAATTTAACCAAGATCATGCGCGGTGTTCACTCGAAAACGTAACGCGCAACTAAATTCTGTCCGAGCAGGTCGTTTTTAGCGTACGCTATACTACTGCGTATTGCGTACGTAAGATCCAGCAACGCTATACTAAAACTGTCTATTATGGACACTGAAATGTTTGGCTCAGTATTTCTTTACGTGACCAATGTTCAGGATACAAGGGTACGTTGGATGTTCGGTAACCTGATATTTTGTTGTAACTGTAGGTCTCTTTGTGACAGTTTAGTGATGGCTGTAGTCGGACCTAGATTTCTGGGTGTGTGAGGATTCGTGGAAGCAAAAAAAGTAGTCGAGTTTGAAACTTCCCTCTTTCTGCGTCTTTTCCTTCGACTAAAAGTTTCGATTTTTGTACCGCAGTCTCGGGCACTCAAAAAAGAATCAATGTCCACTAGCTCTCCTTCACCCGACTGTTACCAAGCGAGGACCACACAAAATAAAACCTATGATAAGTAACCAAAAAGTTAACGAGATCCTGCTCTTCGCAAATACAATGTTTTTATACTTTTAGAATTTCCTTCTTAGAAATAAACCGTTCCAGTAAAAATGTAACGAGTTCTCGTTTCAGTTCCACCGGTGAAAAATGGAACGTCGGCGTTCTTTCGTTCCTCCTAAAAGGAACGCGTTCCAGGAACGCCGTTTCTTGGAACGCCGTTTTGTACAACACTGAGATGAATACATAAGAGAAATCGTGCGAAAAAAAAGAAAGAGGATATTGTTGCCGTGAGAAAATTGATTTCAGATTTTAACATAAAGTTGCAATTCGATGCTCTAATTTGTGTCGGCAGAACATCGGTGCAACTTATTTTTCAGACAATGTACGTTAACGAGTTACACTCTTAAATTAACAATGCATACACCAGTGCGTCCTATTGTTTAGGGTAGCTGTGAGCTACTGTTTTTTTTTTTTTTCGGTTGGTAGTCAAGATTGAATTTTTTTTTTTTTTTCTGTCCGACGTCTAAATACATTTTAAGCAAATTATAGAAACGTCCCACGACTTTGAGCATATGTATTTGTTTATGTATAATATTATAAAATGCAGAAGTGAAATATAAGATGTTATTTAAAATTTATGATGACGTAAAATATATTTTTTCTTTCTTGATAGAGAGAGGGAGATAGGGAGAGAGAGGGAGAGAAAAAGAGGGAGAGATAAAATAAATTAAGTTGGTGGAGAAGTTGGCTAATATATGACCAACTAGTTTAATAGGAAGTTGCACACCGTGCGACAATGTTAATGTGAACATGGCATCTTCACATCTTAGTTTTTAAGGGTAGGGACGGCAAAGTTTACCGCTTACCTATACTAATATATTTTGACATCCCTTTGACATGTAAAAAAAAAAAAAGTGATTGTTTGTTTGCTTAACAGTGTCGCGCAGTGCATGTCCTCGGTTGTTAGCTTCCAAGTAAATTCTACTGACAACTAAAATTGCATTTTCACGTTGATTTGAAGATGCATTTGCTTTAGCGTATGATTGATTAAACATTTGGGCTGTAGCATTTAATTTGCCATTATAATATATGCGATAATAAATATCGAAATATATCTTCGTTTTGTAGCCTGATTAAAATCAACATGTCAATTGGCTTTCCTATTTTTCATGTCGCGTAATTGTTGTCTTAACTATTTGCCGCATTTCCAGAAGAATATGTTGTTCCACATTTTTTTTAAAAATAACTTGTAGCTTTCCGTTGCAAAAGGAAACGAAAGCTCGCTTAAAGAAACACCAAAACTAGAAAAAAAGGTTTTATGAACGGCATAATGGACACTTATTTTTTCATAATTAAAAAAAAGTTTTGTGCAATATTTACGTCGTTAGACGCAATTCAGATGGAGATCACGGCCCGTTCTAAGCCCCGCCCACATATCAGTGGCCCCACCACTGATCTCTATGTCTATTTGCTGGATCGCGTTTGACCAGCTTGGACGGGAATGCGGCCACGATCGGCCATCTTTTTGGTAGAGTTTTATCGTCTCTAGCCATCATAATATGGCGGACAGCGCAATGGCGGCAGGCTGCCATAAAATAGCCGTAGATCTAGTACACTGTACCGCGGGTGATATTTCGTGCTTGATTGGAGTTGTTCGACGAAGCAGATTCTTGAAACCCGGCGTGAACGGGAGCCTCATCTTTGAGGACCCGGCGAAAGTTCTACGAAAGCGCAGCACCGGGGGAAAGCAGTGCAGCTCCCTTCGAAAGCAGACTCCGTACCGGCCTCTGCTTTCGATGCTTCTTTCGATGCGACTTTCGATGCGTGCTGTGCTGCTTTTCCCCAGGGCTGCAATTTCGTGAAACTTTCACCGGGTCCTCAAAGATCGGGCTACCGTCCACGCCGGTTTTCAAAAATATATTTCGTCAAACAGTTTCAATCAAGGACGAAATATCACCCACGCTATTTTGATGGCAGCCTGCCACCAGAACTGCCACAACGCTGTCTGCCATGGACGGATGATAGTGGCTGCAGCAGCTGTACCTTGCCTAGAGTTAAACTCTACTAAAAAGATGGCCGCCAGTCTGGCACGTAGCCAGGGGGGAGGCTTATGGGGCTCGCCCCCCCCCCCCCCCCCCCCCGAAATCTTCCATTTTGCTGGGACCTCCTCTCCCCCCTCCCCCTCATACAGCATTTTATTATGGGCGGCCCCCCCCCCCCCCCCCCTCCCCGAAACAAAATCCTGGCGGAGCGGGCAAACGCGATCCAACCATTGTCACAGAGATCAGTGGGCCCCACTCATTACTACTGGATTGGCTTGGCTGCTCGACCGAACATGCTCTGAAGCCCATTGCCTCCCTTTTGCGACATCCGGTGCGTCTAGTCTGGAAGTCTGACACCACCTGCTCGTCGCGCGAGCAGACGCGCGGCAGCTTCCGGCATCGTCTGCTATTGCATCACCGCCTATCGTCATCTGCAATGCCCAGACGCGGACATGAAAGCTGCGCATCGATGTCCGTTCACGCCTTCGTCCGTCTGCTCTTCCGCCCTGTCTAGAAACTTCTGCAACGCTTGCAAAACGTGACCATGAAAGCGGCGTTCTAGCATTCCATCAAGCACGAGCTACGGTCCAGTACAAGCGTTTGTCAGCGTCTTCCGATGTGCTGTAAAAGCAACCGAGAGGACTAAAAAAATTATCAAAATAAATATGCAGTCTTTCCAACTGTTATGT